TTTTTTTTCTGCATTTTTTCCGCTATTAAGCTTCGAGAACTGCACCGTCTCTATGGAAGACAACGGGAGCTAATGAACGAAATCAAATCAAGAGAACTTGAAAAGGACGATTCTTCGAAGGATAATAAAAGTATACCCATTTTACCCCCGGCCAAGAACACCCGAAGCTTGACTACTCACGAGCCTCGGTTGCTCACGAGCAGTATTTTCCTGAAAGAAACCGACAACCTCGGACATTTGGACAGTAGAGATACTAAATTATCTCTTGATTTGTATGTAAAAAGAACCAATTGTCATGGAGACTCGAGTGAATACGATTATGGGAAGAAAAAGATTTCTGATAATCTCATGCTTTCGGGAGGGGAAAAATCTCCAAATCCGTGTTTGGGCTTTAATCTTGCGATGAAAGATTTCTTTCAAGCTTCCTCGGATAACAAGAATGAAAAGAATGGAATCAAGCATTCATCTTATGGCTCGACTGGTGAGTCTTTAAAAGTATCTTTGCTAACATGTGTCAAGATATTTTGTTCCATTTTAATTTAATATTATGAAATCATTGGATTTTGCAGAGAAGTGGAGATTTGACACACATTCTTCCGTTGAAGGCCTTCATTTCGGAACATCACAGTTAGTCGACACGAGAAAAGAACTTTCGCATTGTTTGTACACCCGAACATCAGTGTCTCGGAAGAAAAAGAAAATTTTTGGGTTCGAAATTTCTGAAGGCTATGATGAATACTGCACATTCAATGCGGCTGCTGACATTTCAAATATCGAACCTCGTGGAGAAAAAAATGATGTAATTGCCTCGTACAAAAATGGAAAATCGAGTGCAGATTTAAATGGCAAAATAACACGGGAAAATGGGTTTTCCCGCCACTTGGGCATGAACCGAGATTGGCTGCAAAGCCAGAATTCAACTGGAATAAATTCGGAAAATGTTCCATGTCACCGTACCGAGAATATTCAAAGAAAATTTTTCAAGAATTCGGACAGCATGAATTCGAACTCGGCAGATTCTCTACCGTGGTTTCTTAAGAATCTGCATAATACTTGTGATACAAGCAAAAGCAAGAAGAGTTCATATTTCATGAACATTGATTCGTTGCAGAGTTACTCGGAGAATTTTTTCGGAAAAGCTGACGTGGCAGCGAAAGGCAAGTTTCCAAATTTGGAGCCAGAAAACAAAATCTTGCCACCAAACATTTCCCGGGATGTCGAAAATGCGACTCAGACAGAGGATACTGTTCACAACAAAAGATTATTAAGTAACTCAAATATTGACCTCAACTTGTCCATGGATCTCGATTTAGAGGCTCCAGCCATTATCGAACCCGAACCGTATCCAAACCAGAAGAATAATCCCGACGAGGAACGCGATATTAAAATCGCAGCCGATGCCATAATTGCCATGTCATCATCATCTGAAATAAAAAATCCTCGCAATCATCCTCCTCCATCATCGCCCGACCGTCTGACGTGGCTAGCTGATGTCATAATTATCCTTGCTGGCCAAAGTGGGTCCCACGAGCCCGTGCCCGACGCCGTGCCCGACGGAATGGATTACTTCGAGTACGCCACTCTGAAATTGAAGGACGCGAAAGAGGAGGAAGAAGCTGAAACAAACTTGCTGCATGGGCTGGAAGAAAATCCGAGCGGAGGGGCAAAATCGTCCGTACGGTCCAAAAAGGGGCGTCGGTCGAGGAAAGATTTCCGGAGGGACGTGCTTCCGGGCCTCGTCACGCTGTCCCGAGTCGAGGTGAACGAGGATTTTCAGGCTTTCGAGGAGCTGCTGAAGGGTGGTTGGGCCCGGCAGGCTGGGCCGACGAGGTGGGGCCCGCCGGCAAGGAGCTGGCGGAGAAGGAGGAGGCGTGTGGAGGCGGTTGGTTCGGGCCGGGCCCAGGAGATCGAGCTTATGGGATGGGGGAAAAAGAGGCAGAGGTGTGCTGCTGCTGCTGCTGCTGCTAATGGGCTTTGTGGGCCCAAAGTTTCTTGTGAATAGCTGTAGAGGTATATTATAGATTCTTGTTTTTCTTGTCTGTTTTCATCTACCTTCATTGAGATTGGGACAGTGTACCTTTGATGCAAACCATTTTGTTGTTATATTTTTGTTAGTGCTTTCATATATTACAAGGTAAGGAAGGAACATAAAGAACATGGATTTTTTATTCTGCCTCCTTTTGGTTCTGTTTTTGTAAATATCTAAAATGATTTGTTAAAGATTATAGCTTCAGATTCTTCTGTTTTGTCACCACATTCTGGTAAACTTTCAGAAGATGTTTGGTCTTTCAGAAGTAAACTTCATGTGTTAATCAAATCACATAATTTTCTAACTTTGAGGGGGTGTTTTGCAATTCGGAAAGTTTTTTCCCTGAGGAATCACCTTTGAGTATCTATGACCAATGCTGCAAACGGATCGAGTCAAGATCAAACACAAACTTCAAGCTCGAGTTTGTAGTTTGTTCGATCGAGTGCGGGACTAAGTCGCTTGAATATACGTAAATTACCTATAAATACTTCTATCTGTCTTGAAATTTTTAAATTGAAATTTTGCATTGAGAAGTTACAGTTTTTTGTTGAGTCGAGTCGAGTGCTTGAGCAGCTCTTGAAAAAAAAATCGATCCTAACTCGATAAGACCAGTGCTCGACTTATAGTTAGCCTCCTTTGCAGCCCTTATATTAGATTTTTCAAGAACTTCATCAGCTAGTTTGACACTTTCTTCTTCACAAACTATGAATCAACTTTCATATGGGTCACTAAAATCACTGAGAAAAAGAAAACATAATCTTTTTACTTCACGTAAATCATCTGCTACATATTTCTCCACCTCAACTGTCGAAAAACTTCCTTCCCATTTGGAAAGCTGTCCGGATACGAAATCTCTGAAAAAGCTGCAAGCTTGCGTGATCAAACGCGGTCACAATTCCCTTGCAAAATTTGATCTTTCGGCAGAATCTAAACGTATTTCCTACGACGATTCCTCTTCATGGAATTCAATCATCCTAGGATATTACAAAGCCGATCAATACGATGAAGTTTTAGCAACTTATTTGAATTTGAGGCTGAAAAACATCGGGATTCATGGTTCATCAATTACTTCTGCTCTGAAAAGTGTTGCCGAGCTGGGAGCTCACGACTTCGGAAGGAATTTGCATACGGATGCTGTTAAATTTGGATTGAGTTGTAATCCATTTGTGGGGTCCTCACTGATAAAGTTTTACTCTAGATGTGATCAAATTGTGGATGCAGCCAAAGTGTTTGATGAAATTACTGAGAAGGATTTGGTTGTTTACACTTCAATGGTGACGGCTTATGCTCAAGTTGTCGGTTGTCAAAATCAAACTTATAAAGCTTTCGGAGTCGTGCACAGTATGCAGAATGATGGGCTCGATCCCAATAGGGTAACCCTCGTGAGTTTACTTCAATGCACGTCACGTTCGGGAGCTGTGAAAGAAGGTAAATGCATTCATGGATTTGCAGTTAGGAGGGAGATTGGTTTTCGTGATGAAGTCTTTCAAACGAGTTTATTAGATATGTATATAAAGTGCGGTTATCTAGAAAGCGGCGTTAGGATTTTTCACATGATGAGCAAAAAGAGTACCGGCTCGTATAATGCTCTGATAACGGGTCATCTTCAAACGGGAAGACCTTTAGAAGCCTTCAAACTTTTCTGCAGGATGGTTAAAAAACACGAGCTTGAGGTTGATTTGATTGCCTTAGCAAATGGGTTGTTGAGTTGTGCGGATTTGTGCGATTTGCTTACTGGAAAAAGTATACATTGTCACATGATTCGAAAAGGGGTCCGTCTCGATATCGTCTGTACCACAGCTTTAATCGACATGTATTCTAAATGTAAGCATTCATCTGCTGCCGTAAATATTTTCAGCACGACAGAAAATAAAGACGATGCTTTATTTAATGTTATGATTGCCGGTTATATACACAACGGATTTATTTCTCGAGCCATTGAGGTATTTCGTGAAATGGTAATAAACGAGCATGTTCGGCCGAATGTAAGTACCATAATTTACGTTCTTTCTTCATTGTCCGGCAAGGAAGCTTTACGCACGTGCAAGAGCATTCATGGGTATGTTTTCAGACAAGGGTTCGAAACAAATACAGACATAGGAAATCAATTTATAAGCTCGTACGCAAGATGTGGCTTCATGGGTTACGCTCGACAAGTGTTCGATAAAATGAAGTTCAGAGATCGAGTTTCGTGGACATCAATGATGACGGGCCTCTCGAACCACGGCCTTGCTGAAAACGCAATAACCTTGTTTTTAAAGATGCAAAACGAAAATATGCAACCCGATCCTGTTACTTTCACGATTTTGCTTCAGGCATTGGACCAGCTCGGTTATCTAATGCTGGTAAAGGAGGTTCATGGACGTATTTACCGATTATTTTTAGAAAAAGACACGACCTTGTCGAATTCCCTCATTACTATCTACAGCAAATGGGGAAAATTCGAGATGGCCCGCGATTTGTTCGAGCAAACGGGCCGAACGCAAAGGCATTTGTCGACGTGGAACACCATGATATCCGCGTACGGCATGCATGGAGACATTGCCCAGGCTCTGAACCTGATCGTACAGATGGAAAAAGACAATCTTGCCCCTGATGGGTTCACGTTCAAATCGATACTCTCCGCGTGCAGCCACGCCGGGTTTGTGGAGGAGGGCTTGCGTGTGTTCAGGTCCATGGAGGAAAAATACGGTGTTTTGCCGTCAGACGAGCATTATGGCTGTGTGGTGGACTTGTTGGGCCGGGCCGGAAGGTTAGAAGAGGCTTATGATTTTTTGGAACGGGCCCCTTCAAGGAGGAATGTGTCAACTGTTGGGGCTCTTCTTGCAGCTTGTAGGGTTCACGATAATCTGGAGATGGGTGGGAGAGTGGGGAAATGGCTGTTGGATGTGGGCCCGGAGAACACGAGCGCTTACTGCTCGGTTTCGAATATGTATGCCGGAGAGGGAAGGTGGGATGAAGTCGCGCGTATAGGGAACATTGCGCAGGGGAAAGGTCTGAAAAGGGTTCCTGGATTTAGCCGTGTAGATTTGAACTGACATTGCAAATATTTCCGCTTAAAATGAGTTTTTTGGTTAATCACGGTGAGTTTATATTAAAATAATATTTAAAATAAAATAGTTAAAGTTAATTTTTTAATGTAAAAGTAGGAGAGATCTGATGTGAAGTGATAGCTAGTTAAAATTATGTGAGTGAAAAATTATGTGAGTGAGTGAATTGATAGTGAATTCAAGTTGATCTAATGTGTAAGAATGATTGATTTGTAGTTTAATTATATTGATAATATTGGAGATAGAGTGATTGAGTTAAAATTGATTTAGATTTTGAGTATGAATTGAATTTATTTATAAACAAACAAATAAATTTGGGTTCGGCTTGTTCATCAATGTTGATGAGTTGTACTTAAGTTTTAACGAATCGAACTATAGAAAATTATGTAAAATTCATATTTTTGAGCTTAAACTCGTTAACTAAATGAACTCTAGTCGAGAAGTCGAAAATCACAGTGTCACACACAAAAAAAAAAGGTAAATAACAAAATTTAGCCGAGGTTTAACTTAAAATACAATAATTAAGTATATATTGCAATTGCTCCCTTTATTTTGTTTCCGTCTTATAATAAAAGAGATTCATAATTTTGAAAAATTAATGATCTTTGTATATGAACACGTGAAAGTGGCATCAAAAGAGGACTGGAAAGTCGAAAAACTACTTGAAAAGAAAATAATTACCCGAAAAAAAAAAAAATTAAGGTCCTACCGGGAGTCGAACCCAGGTCGCTGGATTCAAAGTCCAGAGTGCTAACCACTACACCATAGAACCAGACGAAAGAATTTCTTAATATAGTTATATATGAGATCTATAGAACCTTGCAACGTCACGCATCTCTGCATGAAATTGAGTTATATCGTGTATTTCATTATCGCATTGTCATGCTATCTATTATATTTAATGTAATTAGAAATATATAAAATTAAATATAACTTTAGATTTAGATTTTTTATTTTGTTGGTTCGGTGTATTATCGTATGATCGTATTGTATTTGTCTTGTGTTTGTGTGTAATTATCGACCGATGCAAGAAAAAAATATTCAGTCTCATCTTTGCTTCTCATTATAATTAGTATAACGAGTAGACTGGTGAATAAAATTTGTGTTGGAAATGAGATTTGAGTTCTTAGTATAGATTTGGAAAGAAAACTAGATGAGGATGCTCTGTTTTAAAGGAAGGTGTTTGAAATCAAACTACACCATCCTCATCTCCTTAAACTTGATCAAAACTACCTTAGAAATACGGCTATTAATCGAAACTAATTGCTCGTGAGCTCGGCTCGACTTGTTCGACAATTGAACTTTTTGATTCGTTAAGTGCTCGAGTAACATGAATTCGAGCTCGATACTGACTCGTTTAAACTTAGAAAAATGAAGATAAATCGCAACAACAAACGTGAAATCTCAAATTTTCCAATCATCAGTCCATCTAAAGCGACTCGATCAATTCCTGAACAAACAAATATGAGCTACCATCTTCTTCCTTGGCCTCCAAAGCTTTCTCTTTTATCTCCTTCGCTCTAACCCTAAGCTCCTTATTTACCATCAGCTCCCTTATCTTCTCGGCAATTTCGTTCCGGCCCACCAGCTTCTCCCCGGCCCAGCCCCAATCCCTGTCCCAAATCCCTAACCCTACCTTCTCCACCACCTCCGCGTTCACCCGCTGGTCCCCGTGCTGCGGCCAGGCCAGCACCGGCACGCCGAGCCGCGCCGCCTCCACCACCGAGTTCCACCCGCAGTGGCTCACGAACCCTCCCACAGCAGGGTGCGCTAAAATGCGCTCCTGGTCAACCCACCCCTTGACCACCATCCCTTTGCCCTCGTTTCTCCTCAGATAAGACTCCCCCAGCAGATCCTCCGGCTTTCCGGCGTCTTCCTTGTCGACCTTGCTGGATTTCAGGGCCCACAGGAATTTGAGCCCGCTTATTTCCAGCCCGTGGGCCAGCTCTCGTGTTTGATCGGCTGTTAGAGCGGTTCTCGACCCGAAGTTGACGAAGATGACCGAATCGTCGGCTTGTCCGTCGAGCCACGGGATGCCTTGAGCCGGCCAGGTCTCGA